GTTATGCCTCCGGAGAGACCTTGCAGGGAATGGAGGCCATATCAGTACCCTGAAAGCGGTCAAAGAGTGGTCTAAGTTCTTCTGTGGACATGGGTAAGAAGCCCTATATCCAATTGATGTTGCCACAGAGGGTCTCCACCTCTAAAAGTGTAAACTCATCTGGTAAGGTAAGAACAGGAACTATGGGCCGGATGACATCTTGAATAGAGTGGCCCAAAAAGGTATAAGGGGCATGTAACTGTATTTTATCTGCTGCAATAGTAAGACCTAATGCCTGGAGGTTTGTTTTGAGTTTTTGAAAAGCTCCTTGTAAGATCTTAGGATCCTTATGGGCAATAAGAATGTCATCCATATAATATAAAATATAAACCTCAGTCAGCAAAAGTCTGCAGGCATGGGCCACATAATATTGGCAGATACTAGGACTGTGTTTCCTGAGGCAAAACCTTCCAATGAGAGCATTGAACTGGAAGGTTATGGTTAGTGGCAGGTATAGACAAAGCAAAATAGGGCTTATCATCATCATGATGAGGAATAGAGAAGAAACAGTCCTTAATATCTATTATAATAATTGCACATTCTTTGGGAATAGCAGTAGGGTGAGGCAGTCCTGGTTGAAGTGTCCCTAAAGGCTTCATATGCTCATTAATAGCCTTTAAATCATATAAAAGTCTCCACTTTCCTGATTTATTTTGTATAACAAAAATGGGAGAATTATGAGGACTAAGTGAGGGCTCAATATGACCCAAGGATAACTGTTCCTGGACCAAGGAGATTAAAGGAGCTAATTTATTTGAAGGAAGAGGCCACTCCACCCATATGGGAGCTGTTGTGTCCCACTTTAGACTGATAGGGGGCGGCTTGGGCAGCAGAGCAGTGGCCATTAGAATTGGGGGTGAGGGTGGGGGGCATTGCCTGACCATTGATCTACAATGCAGTCTTCATAGAAGGCTTTGTCATTGGTAGTTAGAACAACCTCCATATTGCAAAGGATATCTCTCCCCACAGGTTATGGGGAAACCCTGCAGCTAAGAGTGGTTTAATAGCTCCCATATTGCCATCTGGGTCAGTCCAGACCAGGAGACGTTGGACCTGTAAAGTATTTTGTAAGCCCCCAACACCTTGGATAGGGGGTCCAGGCTTATGGTGCCAATGCGACAAGGCTTCTTCCTGTCTGATTACAGTAATATCGGCGGCCCCTGTATCAATTAGGCCTTTAAACTTATGGCCATCTGGGGAAAGTTGCATCCTAGGCTTGTGCAAATCAATAGGTATCGTCCATTGGACGTGGAGGGTGTATTCCTTTACTTCCTCTCTTTGGGGCAGGGCTGAGAGGCAGCCTGTTGCCCTTTTAAAGACACCTTTTGTATGGGTTTACCATCTGCATCCACCTTAGACCTGCATTCTCTTGCCCAATGAAAGCCTTTCTGGCATCTCGGGCATTTTGAATTGGGAACCTGGCTCCTTTGGGCCTCTTTCATAATCTTATTAGGACAGGTACATGACCAATGGCCCCCCCTGCAGGCCCAACATTTGCCTTTGTCCATCTCAGCCTGTGGCTGATGCACAGCCAGTGCCTCAGCAAGGGCTGTGGCATGGGCCCGAGCGGTCCCCACATCTCAGCATGCCAGAATCCATTCAGAGACATCCTGTGTCTAACGGGTCCTATGGCAAGGTGACACTCTGTAGAGCAGCCTTCATACACAAGATCCTTGAGCAAGGCATTGGCAGCTCCCTGATAACTGAGCTTTCTATTTATACTTTGTTGGCATCTCTCAACAAAATCAGAGAAAGACTCGCCTGGTTTTTGTATTAATTTGGTTAATTTGGCATCACCATGAGTTGGCATACTTTGAAAAGTACGAAGCACATAAAGCCGTACTTGTTCAAAGTAGGGGGGAGGTCCGTCCCTGTGCCTGAGCTTCGCGGGGGGGGGTCTCAAAATTGCCATGTCTTACTAGAGCATCAATTCTAATGTCTTAGACGTTGGCATTTCTATTGTGCTCTGCCTGTTGTTCATATTCATCTTGGTAAGCAGCTTTCCATAAAAGGAAATTGCCTCCCTGTAGGCAGGCACGGGCGATATTCTGCCAATCATAGGGGGTATTGGCTGAATGACTGTATCTAATAACTGACCAAACCAGGGAGAGTGAATGCCATGCTCAACTGCTGCCTTACGCAGCTTCCTTAAGGTATCATGAGAATATGGATTCCAGATTAGGGTTCTGTTGTCCCTGATTGATGGTAACTAAGAAAAACTGTGGAAAATCTCCCATTGTATCATAGAAGAGGGGCCTAGGCTAGAGGGGCTTCCAGTCCTCCTCCGGAGGGAGGGGTAGATGGACTGGGGGGGGACTTCCTTAAAGCTAGTGCAAGATGGTGGAAAGTAGCCATCGCCCTGTAATGGCGGAGTAGAGGCTGCCTTAACTTCCTGCTTTTCAACAAAGCAAATGAAAGATGGTGGAGGGTAGCCACTGCCCCGTAATTTTGGGGCAGAAGTGATTTTAACTTCCTGTTTTTCATCAGGGGAGCTCTCAAACCCCAATTCCTCATTTTTCATGTCATCATTAACAGTCATTTTTTCAGCAGAACAAGAATCTGTTAGTTTTGTTTTAACTGGAAATGCCTGGGACAGGCCATCCCCAGTGTCCTGTTGTTGTATTTGCTCATCTATCTCCTTTATAGGATATTGTCCTGTTCAGGGGCTTTGGGGGGAACCCCCTGAAGGGAGGCCAGAATGGCTGTCACAATGGGGTAGAACAGCCCAGACTATGGGTGTCCTTCCCCGACTTCTCTATGCCAGGCCAAGAATAAAATGCAAACCCATTGTTCGGGACCCCAGCAACAAGAATCTGTAGACCAGGGGGCAAGAGCTAGTACTTCATCTAAAACCTTAGTTACATCCTTTTCTGTTACCCTAATATGCGTACTCCTGAGGAGAGGAACCAGTGAAGCAGTGCAGGGGCTGGCAGCAGCTGGATGACTATTCCCCATAGCTGAGGTCACTCATCCTGCACGACATACCCAAAAGGACTCAGGAACTGTTCAAGGAGATGATTAGCGATGACAGGAACGGCACGCCCAACTGAAGATCGCGAGCCAGAAGAAAAAAGCAGAACAAAACGAAAGCAGCAAGCAACTACGGGAAGAGCACCTAGAAAGGGGGCATTGGGAGCCCAAGGTGTTACAACTCAGACTGTTACAGCTCTGTGGGAAGGGGGTCCCAGCCCCATGTTGGGAGCCAAGTGTGGTCACCGGCTGTGGCTACTCTCCTCCAGCTATGGCCGCTCTCCTGCTGTCTCAGTTCCTCAATCAGTCATCCGGTCCGGACCCAGGGCTGGTGAGGAGTCTGTGGCAGCATCGCCGCATTCAGGCGCAGGAGACCAGGTTCAGCGACACAGATCTGCTTTATTGAAGGAAGGCACGAGCTTATATAGGGGTAGTGGTCCAATCACAGCACAGCAAGTAGGATACCTCATTAGCCTAACAGGTTTAGTGAGCTATCACAGAATAGCGGGGAGGATGCCTCATTAGCATACTGGGTTTCAGATTACAGAGCCTGGAATCCTGGAAACCACGTGACCCTGACTGTTGCAATATCTAAGTGTTACAATTCGGATTCCAAGGGTGGTGATTAGGGAGTGGCAAGCTCTAGGCATCAGTCTCATGATCTCCCAATGGGAGCAAATGTCACAAGGTGTTCCTTGTGGCCCCAGTGGTCGGGCTGTTACCTCAGGCCTGCTGTATGGCTGTAGGCTCAAGCCTGTCTCCCACAGTCTCAGTTTCGATTTCCAGCACCCACATGGCAGCTAACAACTGTCTGTAACTCCAGTTCTAGGGCATTCGACACCTTCTTCTGATCTCCATGGGCATTGCATGATGTGTGTTCAGCTGCGCACATGTAGGTAGTACACTCATACACATAAAGTAAAAATAATAAAATATCCAAAGTGCCAAAGAGAAACTGTTTAGGTAGGTCCGTAGTTAGAACTATTTTGGAATATATGTGAAGATTTTAAGAATCAAATAATAAGGCAGTTGAAGGTGAAGGTGAAGGAAACTTGTCATTGTCTTGACAGCTTATGCAGCACATACTTGCCTTCACTTTCTATAACCTTGAACTCTTCTTGACACAGCTATTAGAGCCAGACCTTTAAATAGCCTGTCTCATAGTATTAAGACACAATGTCTGATTTCCTGACAATTACCAGCCCTTCAAAATATGGTGTGTGTATGAAGATGTGTCTGCATTTTAAAGGATAAAATAGACTTGAGTCAGATGTGCTTGAACTACCAAAACTACTTGCACAATATATCTTATTTTTCCATGTTTAATAGGAACAGAAACATCAAAAACATTCTATGCATTTGTATGCAAAGTTACTTCCAAGTCCAACTAAGCTGCTCTGTTCTTAAGCATATGCTTATAGACTCAGTTTGTGATTTTAGCAATGTTAGGAAGGAATCCTTTTTCTGAAAGTAATCTGTTCCACCAAAGTGTGGCACTACATTAAAATTCACCCTTCATCAAAACTTCTTTTGCAAGGGACTTTTCTTTAGGATAGAAATACTTAAACTGCCACTATGCTTTGGTATTTTAAGAGAGGCAGCATGCTAAAATGCAAAAACAAGGAACTTAGGTTCAGAATATCTGGGTTTTACTCCAGTGCAGTGCCACTTGAAAATTATTCATAGGCAGCCTCCTGTTTTCTCAATGACTCAGTTTTTTATTCTCTGAAAAGTCATGACAAACTATAAAAGCTAATGATCAAATTGATACTACTTGTATGTGAAAGTGCCTAGTAAAGTTTCAAAACTGTAAATGCTCAGTAAAAGCTAATGTTTTCTTTACTTCATTTTCTAAAGGCTCAGACCCCTGCAAGGAGGCTGAAAGAAGCACGGATCCCAGAAACAAGGGTGATTTGATCTCTGAGGGCTAACTCTGCCATTTAGCTGTTGCTATTGGACAGCATATCTGAAAGCGTTTTCTGAATGACTCAGTGCTTGCTTCGACAGCACTGGAACTAAATTTGGAAAGATACAGAGAAGACTAGCATGGCCCCGGGGCAAGGACGACATGCAAATTCGTGAAGCATTCCATGTTTTTTTTTTTTCTTTTTAAAGACCAAAGCATTTGGATTTTTAAATTTTAACTGTACATATTTTCAGGATACAATGTTGCATGACTTTCCATGGAAAGAGAGGAGCTAATAGCTATTTACTCCAGGTAGGGCACTGAGAAAATACTAAAGAAATAATTCTCCAGGTGTGGTGGCACATGCCTTTGATCCCAGCACTCAGGAGGTAGAGGCAGGCAGATCTCTGTGGGTTCAAGGCTAGCCTGGTCTACAGAGTGAGCTCCAGTACAGCTGAGGCTACAGGGAGACCCTGTCTCAAAAAGACCAAAAAAAAAAAAGAAAAAAGAAAAAAGAAATAATTCTACTCAAGTCCATCTTAGTGAACCTGTGAGTTGTTTGGGATTACTTGTAGGAGTATGGTTGAAGGCTTACCTAGAGGAGAATGGATGACTAAAAGATAGATACATCTCCCAGAAAGTCAACCCTAGAATGTGTGATGACTCGTGAAAGGTGCATGAGGGAATCCCCTGCATGATGACTTGCAGGAAGCTGAGATGTTCAGAAAGTCCCCCATCTCCAGTAATCATTAATGCTTATAGAACTTTGTGGGGCTTATAAATCTTATAAATTTTAAGAGCTGCCTCACAATTTTAAGTTTGGTTATTTCATAAGCCTTATAAATTTCATTTACTTTCTGAATCAATAAACCTCCCTAGAAGAGGTAATGTTTCCACTGGGAGAAAAGAACTGAACAACAAACACAGTATTTCAATGCATGTACACAATGTATATCTACTTTTCATCAGGATGATTAATGTTTCACTGCCCTTATCATTACCCTATTTTTGGTGACTTCAAGCTCTTCTCTTCTATCTGTCCACAGTATGTGTGGTGTATGTGCTATGTGTGTGTGTGTGTACTCAAACACACACACACATATGTATGCTTATATATATACATATATATGCTTATATGTGTGTATATAACAGGTTACTGTGAACTGTAATCACCTTTTGCACCTTTATTTTTGCATATTGCCTTTTTATCCTTATGCTATGTACCTTATCTTCTTTATAAGACAGGGAACATATTTTTTTCAACTTAAAATTCATATAATGTAGCAAGGATGAGCTGTCGGGCTGATCCTTGAGAGTGCTGCCACAGCTGATGGCACCGTGCAATAGTGCAAGCGAGCGGCAGCAGCTTGGCAGTAGGTGCTTCTACTTCTGTCCCCCAACTTCTGCCTTTTCTCTTTAGGCTTGAGATGCATGTTCATTTAAGAAAAGGTCAGGAAATAAACCGTCAAAATTCTGGTCAGCCAACTCCAATTAACTCGCAAGAAGCAGACGCCCCAATCCTCATTATGCCGAGCAGTCATTGGTGCTGTCTGAGGTGAGGGCCTGCAGGAGTACTTGACAGGATTCTCTGAGGCAATTTATGCTTGCAATAGAAAGATAAGGGCAGCAGAAACAGCTTGAATTAATTTTAGCCATCGGAAAGAAAGGATCTACCCAAACCAAACGAAGAAATCCTATTATTTAAAGAGGAGGTTGATATGATTTGATGGCCTAACTACTGAAGTTTTGTTTAGAATGCATTTATGCATTACAAGACATGAACCAAGGCATAGGTAAATTGGAAAGGAAATAGAGTTTGATTGCTAGAGAGAGCAGTACTTGCTAACAGAAGCTAAAGACAAGAATTGGGTTTCCTTTTATTGTTGGAGAGTTGCAAAGAAGTATGTGATGTGTTTTGATGATGTCTACCTCCCATTCCCTCCCCTTGAATTCGTTCCCTAGTTCCTCAATTCCTATTCTCTCCCAATAAGCCACTAAGTTCACTTAGAGTTGCTGACATGTGCATGGACTCAGTGGCATCTCCTGCTGCATAGTCATATCCCTGAAGAAAATGACTCCCTCTCCTAGTAGCCATCAATGGTAAGTAGCTCCTCAGCTATGGGTAGAACTTTGTGCCCATCCTTCTCCTCCATGCTGGGATTTTGTCTGGTTTGATCTTGTGCAGGTCTTGTACATGCTGTCATAGCCACTGTGAGTTCATCTGTGTAATTGCCTTGGTGTTTCTGGAAAACACTCTTTTGCTAAAATCAGAAGAAGGCTCTGTGACTGGGATTGCACAGCATAGTTCTTTTATATTTGGGAAATGATAAATTAGGTTAAAAAAAAAGGAATAGTGGATTAGAAATTAAGATACAGATAATCTGAATGCCAGTCCTGTATTTTCTCATAGTTAGCTATATAACCTTGAGCAAATATAAGTTTGACCTATAAAATAATTATGTTTTAAATAGATGGTGTCCAAGATCTCTTATGTACATAGCACTTTATGGTTCACTATAAAGCAAAGAGATTATGGATTGAAATGAAATTTTTGTATGCACATCATTCAGAATTCAAGAGCCCAAAACACCAGCTATTGTTTCATAAGTATATCATGCTTCATTGAATCTAAAGTGAAGGAAGTTCGCAACACTATAATGTCTTTAGTGCAATTAAATTTTAGGAAATGACAAAGAAGAAAAAGATCAATATTCTAGAAATAATAAACAGTTTGAATAAAAATAAAAAGAAAAAACTTGTCTCCTAGCCTGCTGGCAGCCAAAAAATAAAATGAAGTAAACTAGGTTATGTTTATTTTATCAATGCATAAAACTAAATGACAGTCCTTATCTTAGAAGACAAGCTAATGGGAGGAGGTGGGGAGGGGGAGGGAGTCTAAATCTGATTAAGATGTATTATATGAAATGTACAAAATCTCAATAAAAATATTAGAAAGAAAAAAGAAAATATACTATCTTGACCCTAAAATTGAAATTCTATATGGAATTCAAGTAACCAGATCTTTATGTAAAAGACTATTGATAACATCATGTACTGGATAATCTCTTTAAAAACGATGCTGAAAAACTATGCATAAATGCTTCCTCTTCTTAGATTTCACATCTCAAAATTCAGAATAATAATACACACATACACACACATATGTACATATGTGTATATATATATATATGTGTGTGTGTGTGTGTGTGTGTGTGTGTGTGTGTGTGTGTGTGATATACCTGGGAGGATAAATATCACTGTCTAAAATGGAGTCTGTACAGGATTGCATGAATTAAAAGCTTTTTCTTTTCTAACTTAGCTTTATTCTCAGGCAAATGTAACCAGTGGAAGTTCTAGGCTTATACTCACTATGCAGTCACTAATTCCAGGAAAGATAATTGCTTTCCTAAGGGTCTATCCAAAGTTGTAAACAAGAGTTTTATCTACCAAACTTTTATTGTGTGATCATTCCCAATGTAGTTCATGCAGCAATGATAAAGGAATGCATTCACTGGTTGTACAAAGGGTAAAAATTGGTCCCTCTAAGCCATTTGTCTTTAGACTGAGGAGATGAGGCTTTGCTGGGAGAACAGAGGAGAGAAGATGCTTCATTAAAATTTAGAGAACCAGTTCCAGATATGGCATATATTTTTTCTGCCAGGTGTGATGCCTGCCTTGCTGGGTTTCAGTTTTGCCTTGGTGCAATTTTTTCTTGGTATACCTCCTTTTCTCCCTTTTTCAAAGGGAATGCTTATTTTCCATAATTGTATATTGGAAGTATATATGTTGCATATTAATTATATAAATGCTCAAACTTAAGAGATTGTTTTTACACCAGGCACGGTGGTACATGCCTTTAATTCCAGCACTCAAGAGGCAGAGACAGGCAGATCTCTATGAGCTCAAGACTAGCCTGGCCTACACAGAGAGTTCCAAATCAGCTGTAGCTATAGGGAGACCCTGTCTCTACAAAATAAAAGAAAGAAAAACAGATTGTTTTGAGGCTCAGTAGAGGCCTTAGACTTTGGACTTTTGAAGAGTGTTGTGACTTAAAATCTATGGGGACTTTTAAAACTGTGGTTTGTGATCTCAGATGAAAATCTAACTGCAGGGGGACAGGGTTGGAGGTTTATGTTTCGTCAAGTTGAAAATTTTAATTTGTGATGGTTAATCATTATTTTCACCTTGACTGAATTCATAATCACCATGGAAATACATCTCTGGGTGTGTCTATTAGCTAGTTTGGAGAAGAAAGTTATATGAAGATGGAAAATACATCAAAATGGATGTGGAGCCATTATGGGCAGGTGGGGGTCCAGAATTAGATAGAAAGGAGTTAGTGAGCTATGTACCGTACCTATATTGTCTGTCTTTGATTTGCAACTGTGGATGCCTTGTGACTAGTGATTTAACACTCTTGCCACCATGTATTTCTCACCGAAATGGACTGCTTCCTCAAAGTATGAGTCCCCAAACCCTACCTTCCACAAGTGGCTATTTTAGGGTGTTTTGTCAGAACAATTGGACAAGTAACACAGGGGCTCCATTTAGCACTGCCATGTTGATAGCAATGTATTTCCTTCCCTAGGAGGTTGTTATGAGGATCAAATGAGGATATGCTTGATATTTGCAAAGCACTTTTAGTTTGAAAACTATACAGACTCTGTTAAGAAAAATGTTTAAAAAGATATCAAAAAAAGGAACAAAATCAGTATGATGGACTCCATCCTTTTCTCTGTACACTTTTCATAACTTAAATTTCATGTTGGTACTTCGTGGAACCCAATGTAATTCATTTTTCTCTATTTGATTCTTCATAAAATGTCAGTAGCAAAATCATATTGACTGCATATCTGAAATATCTCTTAAATCTCTTTCATTCTACTACATTTGGTAGTGCACATCCTTTATTAAATCCAGCACTTGTGAGGTAGGTGGATTTCTCTGAGTTCAAGGCCAGTTTTGTCTATGTAGTGAGTTCCCTGCCATATGGGAGCTACCCAGTGAGCCTCTCTCTCTCTCTCTCTCTCTCTCCCTCCCTCCCTCTCTCCCTCTCTCCCTCCCTCCCTCTGTCTCTACACATATATCAAGATATTAAATGTCTTGCTTTCTTTCCTTCCCATTTTATTACTATACCAGTTCTGACTCTGATTTCCCATTCCCCATTTACTTCTCAATAGATATTACTCTAT